TGCTCCCAAAATACAATGGTGGGACAGGCATCAGATACCAGTTAGAGATATTTCTATTCAAAAAGGGAGAAAGGGGGAAAAAAAAAGGGTCATAAGTCAAGCAACTTTAAAATGCAATTGAGACATCAACATTAGGCTTTAAGACCTGGGAATAATCCTCTGTGGTTTTCAGCTCTGTCCTCTGGATTTATGACTCTTGCCTCTGAGGTTGAGGATCTGCCCTTTTGGTCATGTTCCATTTTTCATCAGGAGTCGTATGTATTTGCAGCTGAGTAGTTTTACTAGCCTGTCTCCTAACTTTGGGATTTGGGGAGGTTCTATAGCCTCTTTTCATTTTGACCTCTCAATCCCTTCCAGTCCAAGCTGGCAATGTTTCTACTAGTATAAAATTTTCAAGGCCCATATGAGTCTCCTGTGTATGTCACAGGAATTCTCCCCATTAGACAAGAAGCTCCTTCACAGGCATTTCTTAGACAATCATATCTTTATTCTCATGTTTTGCTGACATGGTTGAGGGGGTTCCTGAATCACATGCCTAATATCTTTAAAGCGACTTCTCTGTGACTGAATACTTGGCCCTTCTCAGCCTTTGGAGACATTAGAAAAAGGTTGTCCAGGCACACTCTTGGCTTTCTATCCAGAACATTTTTTCTTGACAGTGATGTTCCTCATTTTAGTGTCTTTTAAAAATCTGTATAGCCAAGAACATTTCATTTCAAGTCCTGCTTCCTTTTTGATTAAGTTCTTCCCTCTTCCTTATATCTTTGCTCTTACATTTGACTATAAGAAGCAGGAAGAAAGCAAGCCACATCTTTAACCACTTTGCTTGGGAATCTCCTCAGAAAAATAGCCAAGTTCATCAATTACAAGTTATGCCTTTCATGTAACTGTAGGACACAGTTCTGCTAAACTTCCTGCTACTATGTAACAAGACTTCTTTTTCTTCCAGTTTCCAGTAATATGTTTTTCATTTGCTTCTGAGCCCTTACCAGCAGTGCTTTTACTGCCCTCCCTACCAGTCATCATCTTGTGATGATTTAAGCATTCTCTAAGACAGCATAGATTTTCTCTTCTGTGCTTCTCACTTCCTCTGGCTCTTAATTAGCAGAGGCATTCAAATCCATATTTCTGCTAATAGTCTATTCAGAGCAATCTAGGTTTTTTCTATCATGCTCCTCAAAATTCATTCAGTATTTACCCTTTACTCAATTCCAAAGCCACTTCTACATATTTAGACATCTGTTAAAGCAGCATCCTACTTCAGTTCCCAAAATCTGCGTTAGTTTCCTATTGCAACATTAACAAACTATTACAAACTTAGTGGCTGAAAACAACACTAATTCATTATCTTATATTTCTGGGGGTCAGAAGTCCAAAATGGGTCTCACTCAGCTAAAATCAGGTGTCAGTAGGGCTCTAGGGGATATCTATCTTTGCCTTTTTCAGCTTCCAGAAGTTTCTTGACTCATGGCTCTTCTACTGTCACAGCCAGAAGTGTAACATATTCACACTGCTGCCTCTCTCTCTTACAGGGTATCTTATATATCCATTGGACCCACTTGGATAATCCAGGGTAATCGTCCCATCTCAAGATCCTTAATCACACCTGCAAAGTTCCTTTTGCCATGTAAGGCATTCACAGATTTCAGGAATTAGGACATGGCCATCTTTGAGAAGGTGGAGCATTACTTTCTGTACCAGAGAACGATACTATATAAATGAGGTTTTTAAAAGGAGAGTTTATACCTTCCTTCTTTTTGCATTACCTGAACCTAGCACAGTTATTGCCTGCTACCTAGAAGGCACTCAGTAAATGCTTAGTAATTGTTTTAGTAAAAATAACATGTATTTGGCATTTGCTATGTGGCAGACACTCTTCTAAGAGATACAGCAGTGAACAAAACAAAGTTCTTATTCTCATGGACCTTGCATTCTGGTATGGGGACTTACAGAGTACATATGCTAAATAGTATTAGGTGGTGATATGAAGAAAAATCATCCAGGGTAAGTGTAGAATATGCCAGGTGTGCTATGTAAGAAACCCTGTCAAACAAGGTGCCATTTGATTGGAGACCAAAAAGAACTGGGGAATCAATACTTAGAAATTTGGGGAGAGCATTTCAGAAAGAAAAATGGTGATGAGGTAGGGGCATGCAGGGGTTTTGAGACTTTTAAGGAATAGTAAGAATGCAGATGAAGTTCACAATGAGGGGAGAGGGTGGAACAAGATGAGGTTAGGTAGAAAGGTGACAGGTTGCATAGTATTTTGTAGTCTGTGGTAAAGAGTTGGATTATACTCGGAGATGGAAGTACATTACGGGGTTGAAACAGGCTGGCAAAAATCTGACTTGTATTTTAAAAGATTATTCTGGTTGCTGTGTTGATTACTACCTGCAGGAAGGTAAAGGTGGAAGCAAGGAGACAAGACAGGGCTGTTGCAGTGGTGCTGGGGAGAAATGCTGACTTGGGTTAGAGTGGTAGCAGTGGTAATATGAGAATTTGTAGCTTATTCTGTGTTGTTTTTTTCCCCCTAAAGTAGAGCTCATTTGATTTGCATGATGGATGGGTTGTGGTGTGAGAGAGAGCAGTTACAAATGACTGCAAGGATTTGGGCTGAGCATTTGAGTGGAGGCACCGTTTGCTGAACTGGGGAAGATTACAGAACATGAACAAAATTTCAGTTTTGGATATGTTTACATTGAGATGCTTATCAGACAGTAAGTAAAGATACTGTAGGGTCTGATGGACATGGGAGACTTGAGTTCAAGGGAGAAGCTGGGGCTAGAGATACACTTAGGAATCTCAGCACCGAGGTGACACTGAAGGCTGTAGAGCTGGATGAAATCCCTGGGGAGCCATTTAAGAATAGGAGTGGTGCCAGCATTGAGCAGACCCACTCCTTTTTGAAGGTCAGGAATCTGAGGAGAAACTAGCAAGAGGGTATGCTAACAAGCAGGCAGTGGGGAATGAGGGGATCCAAGAGACAGTGAGGTCCAGGAGGCCAAATGAAGTCAGTCTTTTAAGAAAGGAGCGATCACCCTTGACCCAGCAGCTCATTTGGTTAGAGCGTCATCCCAATAATGCCATGGCTGCAGGTTTGATCCTTGGTCAGGGCACATACAAGAATCAACCAGTGCATGCATAAATAAGTGGAACAATAAATCGATGTCTCTCTCTCTCCCTTCCTCCCTCCCCCCTTCTCTACCTCCCTCCCTCCAATTTCCTCTCTCTTTCTAAAATCAATACATTTTTTAAAATAAGAGTGACAAAATGTGTTTGCTGCTGCTGAGATGTCAGTAAGCTGAGTACCTCAAAATAATCACCTATTTTGACATCATGGACGTGATTGTGTTTTGATGGGAGCTGGGGATACAAATGCCTGATCGAAGTTATTCATGGAACTCCAAGGACCTTTATAATCCGCCAAACAGCAAAGAATTCTTACTGCATTTCTAAACATTGACAAATACTTAAAACTATGCTATGGAATTTGGGGCTGACTGATAGTATAAATATTGGAGCTCCTTTGAAGTTTAGTCAAGACTTCTAAGTTAGTCATTTAGAGCTCATTTCTTTGCAAAACTCAAAATGTACTAGCTTTAGTTGTCTGAATTCCTTACCTTCAATTATCTCCCTCTCATTTTTCTAGAAAAATAGATTAATGTAACTGAGGAAAATTCCATTTTCCTGGGAGAACACAACTCAGTCCACACAGAATAGTTTGAAAGCTTTTCTGCTTTAACATTTTTACCCCATTTCCTTATGGTGCTGACAGAGATCAAACATCAGATGCTGCAGGTCAGACATTAGTTATGGGGATTCTTTAGTTGAAAATGCATTTGTTCTCTTGAGACCAGTGAATATGTTAGTAATTAATTAGTGTTGTTTAACTGCATATTCTCTTCCTCTTAGTAAAATCAACTATCAAAACATTGTTGGCTTATATATGACTCCATATATCTAAACCACAGACTCTATATTTGGTATCTTTTGGAAAAATGGGCATAACTGTAATGCTCATAAAATATTGAAACTCATAGAGCCAAGAAAAATTCTCCTTAACTACTCTGCCAAAGTTCATTAAAGGTTATTTAAAATATAATGTGTAAAATGAAAACTATTCCACACACTTCTCTCATAGTATCCTCCTGTGCTTTTTCATTTCCTTTCTACAGAAGGGAAATTTATAGGGGGTGTGGGATAGACAAATAGCAGGGGAAGCTGATTGGAAAAAGGAGGGTGTAAAAGAAATTTGCCAGATTGAATTTACAATCTGAAACTGTGATCCGAGAACACAAATCATCTTGCACGTGCCTGGCCTGATCTAGGCAAATGCTTGAGTTTGAAGGTGTTGGAATTTGCCCTTGATACTTCCTACACTCTCGCTCTCTGCCCACTTCCCTCTTACTGGGGATGTTCTTGCAATGGTGCAGACATAGGGTTACATATTTCATTACCCTCTGTTTGAAATTTATCAGTCTTAGTTCTAAGAATGTTTTCTTGGCTAGGTCATATGTGATTAAAACCAAACAAAACAGCAACCAACCAGTCTTTATTAAGTTGAATATAAAAGAAAGCAGAAAGAGTGAAATATATGAGGAACAATTGGCATATGGCCAACTCCCTGATTCACCTATAGGCACAACACTGACGCTGGACATGTGATCTCAAGAAAGGGTTTGGAAGCTCAGTATTGGAAAATGCAGGTCTCCCTTACTGGAAGGAAAATGGTGGCCACTTTTTTCTTTTCATCATGGGCTTATATTTGCTTTCTCATTCATACTTTAACTTCAGTAGTACCAAAAGGTCTACTGAGTGTTCCTGTTAGTAATAAGACATACCCAAGTTCAAATCCCAGCTCTGACACTTACTAGGTGATTTGACCCAGTTGCCTCCCTTCTGTGTGCCTCTTTGCTCAAACATAGAAGAGAGACAACCCCTACATTGTTAAATTGTTGTAAGGAACGTTATGTCAAGAAGTTTGTGAAAAAGGACCAGTGTAAAATATAGACCCTATACATTTTAATTGAAAATTGAATAGTATATGTCCCGGAAACAAACAGTACTTTTGATAAGTGTGTAATAGGTACATAATAACAAAGGAAATTTTGGGGAAACCATGTATTGAATATGGACATTTTTTAGTTATAAATAGGAAGACTTTTTGATTTGTATTGTAAAATATTTTTCAGAAACATGTATCATTACAAAATACAGTTTGATATCTCAATAGATTCACTCACTAGGAATCATTAAGGTAAAAGAAATGTGGAGGATTAATAATATATCAAAACTAAATGTTTACCATGTAAGTTATATTTTCATATGTAATTTCAGATAAGAAAGAGATTATTTATCCATCCCAGGATGAAATGGCATCATATAAGTGAGTAGCGATTCCACTTTGCATGTAATATATCTATCTATCCATCCATATGTCTTATCTAAGTTTTTATATATCCTATCAGAATTGCAAAATGCATATGAGCAAATGTCAACAAAATCTCAAAATACAATTAAATTTAAGACCCCTTAACCTCTAATCATCATCATACCTGATCTCAACTATCTTTGAAATTTGGGAGAAACAAATATTGTCATACAGCACAGTCTACAGTTTCAGTTAGAATCATTGATTAGGAAATGCTAATCTACAGGATGAACACAAAGTTGAACTGAACAGATTGCATATAGTTGGGGCTTCTAAATGATGGCCATAAAAGTACATGACTAACAGTATTGTTGATTTTCACACTAGGAAGTTGTGGACTAGAAATAATGCCTGACTTTGTCCCAAGCATTTTGATCAGTATACTGTATAAACAGTAATAAACCTCAGTGGCTTCTACACAATGAAACTTTGAATCACTTAAGAATACAAGCAACAGAATGAGCTATTATCAGACTTTGGTTTATTGTAAAATTTAGCAAAGTTTTTAATGTAATCCCTGACCCCTTGCTCTGAAAACAAAAGCAAAAACATAATTATTGCTTATTCTTTCCCTCCTACTTTATTTGTGCCACTATAAAAGAAGGGAGGGAAAAAAAATCATTGTAATAAATAAAAATAGAGATGTAAGAGAGAAAGATAAATGATTCCAGATTAGAAGTATTAGGAGCAACAGAAATACCATCAAGCAGTTTCAAAATATGCTTCTTTTTTAAAGGGTGTCATGTAAAAAAGAAATCACACCAAAAATATAGCAGCAGAGAAGAAAGATAAATACAAGTTAATTGCACACCAATCCCATGCAAAAAACTGGGTCATTAGCCAAAGCAGTAGTATTCAGAATCTAATTTGGGATGCTTGTGCAGTGCCTGGGAGTCCCCTATTATGGAGCTGTCACTGAACTGGTCCAAGTCTGACGGGGTCTGATGGCCTGGGACATCATCTACCAAAGTGTCCAGATAGCTCCCTACGGAGATACCATCCAGCCCATCGCTGCCTTCATGTAGGCTATTGTAGCTGCCATGTAAGGAGGTGCTCTGACTCTCCAGTAAACTGCACAGGCTGCCACTGAGACTGCTGCCTCGGCTAGTAATGGTGGCTTTCTCTTCAATCATCCACTTGATGGACTCAATGCTCTCATTGATAACGAGCAACTGGCGCATGAGCCTGGCGTCTGTGGCTCTGAGATTAACCTATGGAGAAGAGGGAGAGAGGAAAGACATTCCAGTTAGTCTACATTCTTGAAAGACCGAAAATCCAGTTGGATTCTGTCTTCTTCAGTCCTTAATTTTAAATTCATAGAATGAATTCACTGGATCTCAGGATGGTTTTGGAAACTGCTGGCCAGTGGTGGGAGTCATAATCAAAGAACTCATTTCCTCCCAGACACATCAGGCTCCAGAAGGGGAAATAAAACTCCCACTGCATCCCTGACCCTGACCAAGATGTCTGGAAATGCCATATTGAATGTTAGTTTCTCAGCTAAAAAACATATTCTCTCTCTGGCCAGATTAATAGTATACGCAAATTCACTTGGGAATATGTGTGTGGATGCTAAGAGGTGGAGAGAGGAGGAATGTGTAAAAATCAAGGAATCATATCATCATTGTAGCAGGGGTTTTTTTGTGTGTCATAATGTGCCAGGCATCATTATAAAAGCTCAGCCTTCATTATAACAACTCTGTACCACAGCTATTATTTTTTTTATAATAATAGATTTGACAGTACAGAAAAGGTTTCTTTATGACTATATCCACATATATAGTACTGAATAATGCTTTTATTTTTAAGAGGACCCAAATTGCTATAATATTCCCTGAATCCAAAAGGGTACTGATATAGTAGGCTGACCTACTTTATAAGATGAAGCATACAGATATTTTCTGTAGGTCCGATTATTTGCTTCAGATATGTCAGGGATAGCCCCAATCAAAATTGGGATATTAGACTCCGAGAAGGTTCTAAAACTCCCCCTAAGTGCCTTCTAGGTGTGTATTTCTTCTGATAGTTCTAAGTTACCTTGAAGATATCTGTCCTCAAAGCCACAAAGCAGAATTTCTTTGTGGGTCTTACACTTCAATGGAACACTAACATCAAGTGTGTGGTGGTTCTGGGGAAGGTGGGGAAAGGGAGGCTGCAAGAACTCTGATAATTTCCTTTGTTCTTGGAGAAATATGGCTCCTATAAAAAAAGACTCCAGTGCCTGGACTGGGAGGCAGGGACACATGTGGCCACTAGAGGCCCTAGTCACATTCCTTACAGTTTGAAATGGATTCCTGTTCTTTGAGTTGGAGCCTAACCCAAGAGGCTGGGCTTTGCTAATTCTCTTTAAGATCCATGGCTAATTCAAATTTGTGGGTTTCAAGAATTGTCAAAGGCACTCAGTCACAAGTGACTCAAGCCATAAGGGAGAAAGGATCCTATTGTCTTGAAATATATGCATTCATTTTTGTCAAAATATTTCCTGGTTAGGAGTTAATCCATAACTGAAGGCAAACTTTGGATTTAGTGAATGTGAACAAACATTAGGAGAGATGGGATATCTACCAGGGACTTCAAAGATGTAAGGTTCCAGGATAAAATGTATACGTATAAATATAAAAAGCACAAAATACAATTTTAAAACCCTTAAGTTTGCTAGGATATTCAATAAAGTGACTTGGTGATTTCCTGATCTTCTCTGAGAAATCACTGAAAACAAATTCTTTGGAAGGTATACAGGGAAAATCATTTCTTGGTAAGGTGCTCACGAAAAGAAGGATGTAAACCTAGTAGGTCTTGAGATGCTCTTCTGTTTGTGGTGTCATCTCAGTGACCTTGCAGTAACCTGTTGGGGAAGGAGGCTTTCTGGTAGTTTTTATGTTGCGACTCACCCATATACCCCATGAGCCATCAAGATACTGTAAGACAACAAATATTTACAAATCGGCAACAATTTGCCTAAGTCCACTGAGGAGCCTAGAAAATCAGTATGAGCCAAAGTCTTACAGACTTCTTCAGTTAGGCATCTGTAGCTCACGAAACTCACTGTGTCCACTGCAGGCGTGGTGCAATGTAAATGTGACCATTTCCCGAGAGCTCCCCAGATGAACCACAGCTGCGTTTGTCCACATTCCCACCCTGTCCCATGACGTGTTCCGGCCCATGCTCAGCTCTGGGTGTGTTCCTGTTGTCCCCCTCACTTGAAATACTTTACTTCCTCCCTCTCTAATTCCTCTCCATTCTTAAAGTCCTACTTCGCCTGTCAAGCACTACATGCTGATTCCAGCCTCCTCTGCAGTCCGTTTAGTTTGTATCTCACAGTATAACTTAACTTGGTGCTGTCTTCCATTGCTACCTATTATTGTGCCTTTTAGCTGTTTCTTCAACTAAATTTAAAGTTCTATTTAAGAGAGAAGCCATGTCTTTCATTTCTTTCATCTCTTCACTGTGTGCTAAGCATTGGTTATTTTATTTTATTTTTTTTTAAGAAACAGTCATAAATTTAGGATCTGTAGAAGTTCAGCTCTCAAGATAATAATAATAATAATACACATTCCCAGCAACTTTGTCACTCAGGGGTTAAAACATGCTTAGGATCATTTTTCAGCAATATTTGTCTGAGCCACACAGTGGCTGCACCAAATACAATTTTTAAAAATTTCATTGCACAATATGAATAAAAGGGGAGTAGGCTGTGAAGTAACAAAAGCTTCCTTTGACCATGACATGATTTATTTAAATAAAGAAATTCTTTTCTTCTGAAAGCAAACATTCACAGGCCATTGAACCACTGTTGGGGGGAAAAAATGACGAAAGCAGGTCAGTTAGAACGTGTTGATCTGGCTGATAATGATTACAGATGTACTGTGTCTAACTCCCTGTCCTCGGGGTGAGAGTGTAAACAGCTTGCCACTGTGGGAGCACCGGGCTGGCCGGTTCACACGGCTGCCCATCCGACTCCTGGAGCTGCAGGCTGCTTGTTTCACACTCACTGCTTTCTCCTAGAGCTAAGGTGTGGTTATGCCAATGCTGATGAACCTTGAAAGTATGAGCAGTCCACCACAGAACTAAATCACAGTGTCATTCCTGTCTCCAGTCGCTGCCCCACCTTTCCTATTATTCATGTCAGTCCTTAGGAAGTCTGGCCGTTGATTAACAAGAGAGAGCTCGGAGAGTAGACTGGCCCTGTTGGCAGGAAACTGCAATTCTTTCACTTCAGATCTTACAAGGCCCCGCGACTCTGCTCTGAGCATGGCAAGAGTTGGGAGGCCCTCCTTATGGTGTGAGTCTGTGTTCCCTCTTTGGAGTGGGGCACATGATACCCAATCCCCACACCATAGTTCTGGCTCTTTGTTCTCTTCACAACATTTATCACTAGTTGAAATCATTCTGCTTCTTGCCTGTTTACTTATTTTCTGTTTCCCCCCGTTAGCATGAAAGTACCACAGACTGCACAGGACTCGATGTGTCCTCTTCACAGCTCTGTGCCCAAGACCTACAGGAGTGCTTGGTGCATAGTAGGTGCTCGATTAGTATTCATTCAAGGGCTGAATGATTGCTTCATATTGGACTAGCTGCCTTGGGCTTTGCTGTGGGCCAGTTATATGTAACTTAAGAGGAAAGAGAGAGGCAGCTTCTAGGAGGAGCATTTCAGTATTGAAGCATTCCCGGTATGCGGTCCCACCCCTGTTCATTCACAGGCTTCAACACTGAGAAACTGATGCAAGATTATTCCTGTCTTTATGTACAGATTACAAACTAGTATCTCTGAAAGGAAGTGGACTTCAAGGTGTGAATCACACTCCAAACATTACTGTGTTTGTTCGGAGGTAATAACTGGTACTAGCATAGTACAGTGTTCTGCAAACACTTGGTGAAGTGTGTTAAACAAAGGGAACAAACAAACAAACAGGACATTTACCAAAAAAAAAAAAAAAAAAGGTTTGCACTAATTGATCCAAAGAGAAGTGGGTGTCCTTTCCTCTTTCCCCGTTCACTCTCTCCCACTTTAGCCCTTATAGGTCTTGTACTCTAGACTGAATGAATGCTGAAATTTCATGTCATTTTTAAACAGGTGGTGAAATGGTTCCATGGTAGAACTTGAAATAAGGGCTCTTGAAAGAGCAAATATTCTTAATAATAAACTTTCCCAGATCTATGTTTTCTTTCAGACTATCATTTTAATACTGAAAGAATACAGGGTTATGAATTGGCTCAGTGGAATCCAAGAAAGAGACAATGTGGTCAAATTTTCAATTATTAAGGGAGTTGACAAGTCATCTTCTTTTGTGGTGGTATATGAGGAACATAGTACAGGGTTCTGACCTGCCACTGCTCCTGTCTACCTATGTGACCTTTGGGCAATGTGGCCTGGCACATAGGACCTGAAAACAATCAAGGGTTTTATTTGAGCTACAGGGAACCACTGGACTCAGTGGACATAGTAAAACAGTCTGTTAATTTGTACCCAATAATGAAGATTTAATTCGGCTGAGAAACCCAGCTACCACATTTTTCTGCTTTTGGTATTAAGATGTTATTTGATAAGATTCTGTAGATCAGATCATCTCAGTTTTTCCCTCCATTCTGACGTTGGCTCTGATTCTTTGTCATTCCCATGGCCATTTGATTACTAAATTTTTTCTGCTATGAGAAATTCTGCAAGTTATAGAGGAGAGAAGTTTTATCAATTTTGCTGCTCAGTATCTCCAGCAAAATATTTAGCTGGTAAAAACTCATGGTTAAAGCCAGAAGTTTGAGCTCTATGTGAATTTTAATCACCTGTGGTAATAGTAATTTTAGCTCTTACCATTTGGGTTTTAATAAAAATCATATTGTGTTCTGCTCCAAGATAAACATACATATTCTCTTCAATATGCCTAAACTGCAGAATTGTACCTTCCAAATAAGGACATTACTCACTCTATCTTGTCATACTGCAGGCTTGAATAGCACCATGTTCTCATCTCTCTCAAAGCTTTCCTTCAACTGTTTTTATCCTTTTATTTATGAGAATGGACTAATCAGAGAAAAGCAAGCCATCTCTTAGTTACACATTCCTACTGTAAAATCCACAGTATCCATGACCTAAATCCCAAATGTCCAGCAAGCTGTAATATGAATTAGAAGGGAGAAAGACTAATTTGCAAGCAAGTCCATAACAATGTACAAGCGGAAAGGAAAACATATTAGATTTGTCTTTTAATATGAT